GAGGCGATAGGGCCTCTTCGAGGAGAAGATGGGGCAATGCTGACAGGGGATAGGGAAAAGGCAGAACTACTTAATGCCTTCTTTGAAGGAAACACTGAGCAGCATTCCGTGGACACAGATACTAAAAGACAGGGGAGTTACGTATGGATGGGAATTTCTCAAGAGTGAAATACTCAAGGTGATATTGCAAACCGTGCCAACAAAGAGAAAAAAATAGGACAAGTGCAAAGAAGCCAGAATGGATGTCCAAAGAACTTCTAACTGTGCTAAGACACAAAAGAGACATGCACAAGAAGTGGAAAAAGGGAGAAATCACCAAAGAAGAATTCAAACAAATAGCCAACACCTGTAGGGAAAAGGTCCGCAAGGCTAAAGCTCAAAACGAGCTCAGACTTGCCAGGGACATTAAAAACAATAAAAAGGGCTTCTATTCTTATGTCAGTAGAAAAAGGAAAAACAAGGAGGTGATAGGGCCTCTTCGAGGAGAAGATGGGGCAATACTGACAGGATGATAGGGAAAAGGCAGAACTACTTAATGCCTTCTTTGCCTCGGTCTTCTCACAAAAAGAAAGTCATCTTCAACCTCAGCAAGATGGAGTGGATGAGGGATTAGAGGACACCCAACCCCAAATTGGGAAACAAGTCGTCCAGGAATACCTGGCCGCTCTAAATGAGTTCAACTCCCCTTTCAGGGCCAGATCAACTACACCCAAGAGCAGTGGTTCTCAACCTTCCTAATGCCGTGACCCCTTAATACAGCCCCTCATGTTGTGGTGACCCCCAACCATAACGTTGTTTTTGTTGCTACTTCATAACAGTCATTTTACTACTGTTATAAATCATAATGTAAATATCCGATATGCAGGATGTATTTTCATTCACTGGACCAAACTGGGCACAAATACCCAATATGCCCAAATGTGAACGCTAGTGGGGTTGGGGGAGGATTGATTTTGTAATTTGGGAGTTGTAGTTGCTGGGATTTATAGTTCACCTACAATCGAAAAGCATTCTGAACTCCACCAATGATGGAATTGAACCAAACTTGGCACACAGAAGTCCCATGACCAATAGAAAATAATAGAAGGGTGTGGTGGGCATTGACCTTGAGTTTGGGAATTGTAGTTCACCTACATCCAGAGGGCACTTTGGACTCAAACAATGATGGATCTGGACCAAACTTGGCACGAATCCTCAATATGCCCAAATGTGAACACTGGTGGAGTTTGGGGGAAATAGACCTTGACATTTGGGAGTGTAGTTTCTGGGATTTATAGTTCACCTAAAATCAAAGAGCATTCTGAACCCCACCAATGATAGAATTGGGCCAAACTTCCCACACAGAACCCCAATGACCAACAGAACATACTGTGTTTTCTGATGGTCTTTGGTGACCCTCTGACACCCCCTTGTAACCCCCCCCAGGGGTCCTGACCCCCAGGTGGCGAAATACTGGTATAAAGGTATGTCTAAGGTAAAGGTAAAGGTTGTCCCCTGACATGTCCAATTGAGTCCGACTCTAGAGTGTTGGTGCTCATCTCCATTTCTAAGCTGAAGAGCCAGCGTTGTCCATAGACACCTCCAAGATCATGTGGCCAACATGTCTGCATGGAGCGCCATTACCTTCCAACAGGAGCGGTACCTATTGATCTACTCACATTTGCATGTTTTCAAACTACTAGGTTGGTAGAAGCTGGGGCTGACAGCGAAAGCTCACGCCGTTCCCCGGATTCAAACCTGCGACCTTTCGGTCAACAAGTTTAGCAGCTCAGTGGTTTAACCCGCTGTGCCACCGGGGACTCCCAAAGATATGTCTACACTTTGGAATTAATACAGTTTGGTTCCATTTGAACTGTAAAGGCTCAATGCCGTGGAATAATGGCAGTTGTAGTTTGGCACTCTTCGGCAGAGAAGGCTGAGGATCTTGCAAAACTACCACTACCAACATCCCATCGCAATTAAGGCATATTAGTTAAAGTGGTGCCAAACTGCATTACTTTCTGAAGTATAGATGCACCCTAAATCTAACACACAAAACCTCTAACCCATGCTGGCTCGTTTGGGTTGAAACAGTTAAAATTTAACTGAAATGAGGCCAAAAAAGTTTAAAGAATGCCTGGCAGCAGAATGGGTATCTATGCAGCACTTTGGAAGGTGTGTTGATTGAGAAGCGTTCAAGGGGTGCTTCAGGTTTCTTTGGAAATCAGTGAATCAGAATGGAATTAAACTTGGGCAAGATCATGCGCCATAGCTAGCTATAAATTGCAATCAACAGCAGATAAGCATTCAAATAATAATAATAATCTTGCATAATATACTGAGGTGATTTTTCTCCCAATCATAAAAAAAATGATATTGCATCATTCATCTTGAAAGACTTTTCCAGTGGGGTGGAGAAAGTAGGAAAGAAACAGAATGCTAAAACCTGACGTAGTCCGAAACCGACCAGTGATGAAATCCGAACAGATAAACCTTCTCCTTTTGATCTGTTTGTGCCATTTGTGTTTAATTCTGTTTGAATATTTGGCCTCTTTTTATGTTCATTGTAACGGATTGGCCTACCTTGAAGGGTTGGTGTAAAAGGCAGTAAACAGGCCTAGCTTGCAAAAGCTAAGGAGAAAAGACAGCCTCTTAGCCAGAAGTGCACTGAGGCAAGGGAGAGAGACTATTTCCTTATTAAAAATCTCTTTGCTCTTATACTGATTCAGTTTCTTCTTTTATATTGGCTGGGACTTTCTGCATGCTGTTCAACCTTTGTACTTTTATTCACAGGCAATGAGACACTCTTGTGTATAACAAAGTAACACAGTTTATTTATAACTTCTGGCTCCAACGCTTGTGGTTACATTTGTGTTTTGTTGCAATCTTGAGGCTTACAGTCAGTATCATTTACTTGGTTTACTTTTCTGAATAGACTTTCAATGTTTCACATTCACAAACATGTTACTTGCTTTACACACTCTTGGCTGATTTATATTCTGACTAAAACAACACTGGCTTTCTTTATATTCCTGAAAACTCGAGCTCTATTCAACTAACTGCTTCTCTATATCAGAAGTCTTTAACACATCTTCATAACTGCTTATTTCTAACAGGCACTCAAAAAACCAACTATCCTTTTCACACACAGATTCCTAACTGTCATTTTCAAACTCTCACTCTAACTGCATCTTTCAAAACCTTGGCTCCGCCCCTTTGGAATGTTCAGCTCTGCTCTCCCCAACTGTCATTTTGGCCTAGCAGCCTTTTCAAATCCTGGGCCTACGTTAATCTGCATATGACCAATTGGCTTCACATATGCAAGTGAATCCTATCTCTGCTGTTGCTACCCTATCTGTGCCTATTCTTCCCTATCTGCCATATGTAAACATAGAGCTATACACCAAAATTTTAACATAGAGTAGCAATTTCGCTACATGCACTCTGATTGGCTGATGAAATTTGAGAGGACCGCTGGGCGGAGCCAGAGGAAAAGAGAAGGAGCAAGGCAGCCATTTTATGTTTAGTTAGGAGTTTGGTGTTTGAAGGGGGGTCGGGAGTTTGGAATTAGAAGGGTTTGTTAGGAGTTTTGGAAGGGAGGAAGGAAGGAAGGAAGGAAGGAAGGAAGGAAGGAAGGAAGGAAGGAAGGAAGGAAGGAAGGAAGAGTTTGGGAACTGTCATTAAAAGATACCTCTTTGAGGAAAATATTTAGGCCTCTATAGTGATTAGAGTGCTCTGGGTGGAAGGAAGGTTCAGAAGGTTCAAAAGATCCTGTTTGAATTCCTGTGTGAGGAACTTTAAAAAACTCAAGATTATAAGACTTTTTCTCAAAAAGTAAAGCCTGACAATTTATTTAAAACCATTACACTTATTTACTGTTCTAGAACAAAATAAACAGCATAATCCTGTTTTTATTTATTTATTTATTTATTTGCTGTATTTTGTATACTGCCTTTCTCAGCCCACAGGCGACTCAAGGTGGTTAACAGGGCTAAATTCAATGCTTACAGTGTCTTAAATACAATTAAAAACATGACATATAATAAAAACTAAACAAATCAATAAAATATAAATTCTTAGTGTCTTAGTTAAAAATGTTGTCCGGACTAATTGTTTAGTCATTCCATTTTCCTGTGTCAGTTACATTGCATTTGCAAACGCTTGTTCAGAAAGCCATGTCTTGACTTTTTCCGGAATGTTAAAAGGAAGGTGGCCGGCCTAATATCTATAAGGAGGGCGTTCCACAGCCGAGGGACCACCACCGAGAAGGCCCTGTCTCTCGTCTCCGCCAAACGTACTTATGACGAAGGTGGTAACGAGAGCAGTTTTATTTCAACTGAAGTCTTTGTGTTGCTTTTTGAACATTCCAGTGAAGGAGGTGGCCTATGAAAATAATAAATTGGTGGCGGCAAAAGAAATCTAAATAAATATTTGGTGGCAGTAGAGAAAAACATTAAATACAGTGGTAGCTTCCCACTGTCTGGCCTTGAGTGTGAGGCCTCTATAGTGATTAGAGTGCTGTGGGTGGAAGGCCCTCATGGGTGTTCTGAGCCCCTCATGGCCTTGCCTTGGGCCAGACCTTGTCATTTGTCCCTCAGACCTCCATCTTTGTTTGTTGGATTCATCAATTGTGTATTCCTTCAGAAGGAATTGATACATTTTCCCAATTTTTTAATTTTTTTTGTTCTAATACATTCCATTGATTCTCCATTCTTGTATACCTTGTATTGTATCTGAGCAGAGTCTCTGTTGAAGTTGATTGTAGTGGAGCCATGTCATTGTTGAGTCTAGCTTCTTGGTTACCAAGTGGAATTGATTCAGTGCTATTTATTGATCAGAGGTGTCCAACGTGTGGGACTCCAACTCCCAGAAGGTCCTATTGCCAGCTTGTCCAATGGCCAGGAATTCTGGGAGCTGAAGCCCAGAGCACCTGAAGGCCACAGGTTGGATACCCCTGGTGAAGATGCACCTGATGTCCTACACACCGAGCATCACGGCTGCCTTCTGTGTTTCCCCGACAGGTCCCTAGAGGTGCGCTACTTCACCTACGGGGTGCTCTTTGGCTGTGGCAGCTCCTTCGCCTTCCAACCCTCGCTGGTCATCCTGGGCCACTACTTCAAGCGTCGGTTGGGCCTGGCCAATGGCCTGGTGACGGCCGGCAGCTGCCTCTTCTCCATGAGCTTGCCCTTCCTGCTCAAGATCGTCGGCCAAGCCATCGGCCTGTCCCACACCTTCCAGGTGCTCAGCGTTCTGATGCTGGTGCAGATCTTCTGGTCGCTGACCTTCCGGCCCATGTTCCCCGCGGCCTCTGACCCCCACGACGTGGACCACCTCAAGCTGGACAGCCGTAGCTGCCGCCAGCAGTGCGCCTCCCAGATGAGGAAGTACTTCAACATGAGGGTCTTCCGCAAGAAGACCTACCGGGTCTGGGCTTTTGGCATCGCCACCGCTGTCCTGGGATACTTCGTCCCTTACACCTACCTGGTGAGACATCATCTTTCCTTCCCTCCTCCCTCCCTCCTCTCCATCTTCCTTTCTTCCTTCCTTCCTTCCTTCCTGGTGAGACATCATCCCTCGCTCCCTTCTTCCCTTCCTTCCTTCCTTCCTTCCTTCCTTCCTTCCTTCCTTCCTTCCTTCCTCCTCCCTCCCTCCCTCCCTCCCTCCCTCCCTCCCTCCCTTCCTTCTTTCCTTCATGGTGAACATCATCCCTCCCTCCCATCTTTCCTTTCTTCCTTCTTTCCCTACTTCCTTTCTTCCTCCCTTCCCAGCTACCTACTTTCTTCCCTATCCTTTCCTCCCCCTTCCTTCCTTCCTTCCTCCCTCCTTCCCTCCTCTCCTCTCCTTCCCTCCTTCCTTCCTTCCTTCCTCCCTCTCCTCCCTCCTCTCCTCTTCCTTCCCTCTTCCTTCCTTCCTCCATCCCTCCCTCCCTCCTCTCTCCTTCCTTCCTCTTCCTCCCCCCCTTCCTCTCCCATCTTCCTTCCTTCCTTCCTTCCTTCCTTCCTTCTTCCTTTCCTCCTCCTTCCTTCTTTCTCTGCTTTGTTTCTTCCCTGCTCTTCCTCCCTCCCGCTATTTCCCCCAAACTCCACCAGTGTTCACATTTGGGCATATTGAGTATTCATGCCAAGTTTGGTCCAGATCCATCATTGTTTGAGTCCCAGTGCTCTCTGGATGTAGGTGAACTACAACTTCAAAACTCAAGGTCAATCCCCACCAAACCCTTCCAGTATTTTCTGTTGGTCATGGGAGTTCTGTGTGCCAAGTTTGGTTCATTCTATCGTTGGTGGGGTTCAGAATGCTCTTTAAATGTAGGTGAACTATAACTCCCAGCAACTACAATTCCCAAATGTCAAGGTCTATTTCCCCCAAACTCCACCAGTATTCACATTTGGGCATAATGAGTATCCGTGCCAAGTTTGGTCCAGATCCATCATTGAATGAGTTCACAGTGCTCTCTGGATCAAACTTGGCATGAATACTCAATGCCCAAATGTGAACACTGGTGGAGCTTGGGGGAAATAGACCTTGACATGTAGGTGAACTATAACTCCAAAACTCAAGGTCAATGCCCACCAAATCCTCCCAGTTTTTCTGTTGGTCATGGGAGTTCTGTGTGCCAAGTTTGGTTGAATTCCATCATTGGTGGAGTTCAGAATGCTCTTTGATTGTAGGTGAACTATAAATCCCAGCAACTACAACTCCCAAATGTCAAGGTCTATTTTCCCCAAACTCCACCAGTGTTCATTTGGGCATATTGAGTATTTGTGCCAAGTTTGGTCCAGATCCATCATTGTTTGAGTCCACAGTGTTGTTCTGGATGTAGGTGAACTACACCTCCAAAACTCAAGGTCAGTGCCCACCAAACCCTTCCAGTATTTTATCTTGGTCATGGGAGTTCTGTGTGCCAAGTTTGGTTCAATTCCATTGTTGGTGGAGTTCAGAATGCTCTTTGATTGTAGGTGAACTACAAATCCCAGCAACTACATCTCCCAAATGACAAAATCCATCGCTCCCAACCCCACCAGTATTCAAATTTGGGCATATCGGGTATGTGTGCCAAATGTGGTCCAGCGTATGAAAATACATCCTGCATGTCAGATATTTACATTATATTGTGGCCAGAATCACTGAGTTGTTGTAGATTTTTTCGGGCTATATGGCCATGTTCTAGAGGCATTCTCTCCTGACGTTTCGCCTGCATCTATGGCAAGCATCCTCAGAGGTAGTGAGGTCCATTGGAACTAGGAAAAAGGGCTTATATATCTGTGGAATGACCAGGGTGGGACAAAGGACTCTTGTCTGCTGGAGCCAGGTGTGAATGTTTCCATTATGATTCATAACAGGAGCAAAATGACAGTTATGAACGAAAATAATGTGATGGTTGGGGGTCACCACAACATGAGGAACTGGGTTAAGTGGTTGAATACCACTGCTTTAAGCTCCTTGAGAGTTTCTTTACACCCCTTTGAAACCCACAGTGGCCTCTTTGCCCCACGGAGAGGAAAGCCACAGCTGGCGAGAAAGAGTCCGGGTACGTTGCCATTGATAACAGGCAATGACTCAGAGCCTTTTCGGAGACTTCTCTGTTATTTATGAGTCACCAAAGTGGTTCACTGAAAGATCTGAAAGTCAGAAAAGGCAAGGGCTATTGTGAAACCCAGAACTAGAGAAGATGATAATCTCCAAGGAACGGATCCAATACTCTACGTAACGTTCAGAAAGACAGCTGCTCTTTGCTGGGCTGAGTGACAGGAGATGCTGGAGAGGGAAAAAGAGATAACGGTTCCTGAGTCATCCAGTGATTGAGGATGTCAATGCAATAAAAAAGGAAGCTATGGGGAGCCCTCTCAGCCCGGTCATAGCTAACTTCTACATGGAACACTTTGAAGAACAAGCCCTGGAAACAGCAACCAAAAAGCCCACGATATGGTTCAGATATGTGGATGACACCTTCACCATTTGGAGCCATGGAGAAGAAGAACTCAACAGGTTCCTGGACCATCTTAACAGCATCCATCCAAACATCCAGTTCACCATGGAAAAAGAAAATGAAGGAAGACTGCCTTTTCTAGATGTCCTAGTTATCCGCAAACCAGATCAACAATTGGGTCACACCGTCTACAGAAAACCCACACACACAGATAGATATCTACATCAAAACTCCAACCATCACCCAAGTCCAAAAAGAAGCCACATTAAAGCCTTGGCAGACCGTGCAAAAAGAATCTGCGAAGCCCACCTCCTCCAAGATGAACTGAACCACCTCAACTGGGCTCTCCAGGCCAATGGAGACTCCACCTCAGACATCAGGAGAGCTGCAAGACCAAGAACAAGCCACGAGAGTCAAGATGAAGATCCACCCAGAGGAAAAGTGTTCCTGCCATACATCAAGGGAACCACTGACCGCAGAGGGAAGCTGATGAGGAAACACAACATACAAACTATCTCCAGACCCACCAAGAAAATCCAACAAATGCTCCGTTCAGCAAAGGACAAGAGGGATCCTCTCACCTCTGCAGGAGTCTACCGTGTACCATGCAGCTGTGGACAAGTCTACATAGGGACCACCAAACGCAGCATTGCCCAAACACACATCAAGGAACATGAAAGGCACTGCAGACTACTTCAACCAGAGAAGTCAGCCATAGCAGAGCACCTGATGAACGAACTTGGACACAACATATTATCTGAGAACATAGAAATGCCAGACCACTCTAACAACCACCATGTCATGCTACACAGAGAAGTTACTGAAATCTACAAGCATGTGGATAATTCAACAGAAAGGAAGAGACCATGAAAATGAACAAAATCTGGCTACCAGTATTAAAAAACTCAAAAATTATAACAGCTAAACAACAGAGAGGAAAAAACCAGGCACAGATTAACACCTCCCAGCAACAGATTTTCCCAGGCTCAGGCAGGCCTTCAAATGCTAATGAAGGTGATCAGCTAAACATTCACACCTAACTGCAGCAGGGAAGAGCTCCTTGCCCCACCCCAGCCATTCCACAGATATATAAGCCCATTTTTCCTACTTCCAACAGACCTTCTCAGCCTCTGAGGATGCTTGCCATAGATGCAGGCGAAACGTCAGGAGAAATGCCTCTAGAACATGGCTCTATAGCCCGAAAAAACCCACAAGAACCTAGTGATTCCAGCCATGAAAGCCTTCGACAATACATTATTCTATTTTTATTGGAGTTGCTGTGAATTTTCTGGGCTGTATGGCCATGTTCCAGAAGCATTCTCTCCTGACGTTTCACCCACATCTATGGCAGGCATCCTCAGAGGTTGTGAGGTCTGTTGGAAACTAGGCAAGTGAGGTGTGTTTGTGTCTGTGTGTGTATATATTTTTATTATATATTTTTGTATTAAATGCAATATTACTAATAATATTACAGTATAATGTTATAGTACAGGGGTTCTCAACCTTCCTCATGCTGCGACCCCTTCATACAATTCCGCATGTTGTGGTGACCCCCAACCATAAAATTATTTTCCTTCCTACTTCATAACTGTCATTTTGCTACTGTTATCAATCGTAATGTAAATATCTGATATGCAGGATGTATTTTCATTCACTGGACCAAATTTGGCACAAATACCCGATACGCCCAAATTTGAATACTGGTGGGGTTGGGGGAGGGTTGATTTTGTCATTTGGGAGTTATGGTTGCTGGGATTTATAGTTCACCTACATTCAAAGAGCATTCTGAACTCTACCAACGATGGAATTGAACCAAACTTGGCACAAAGAACTCCCATGGCCAACAGAAAATACTGGAAGGGTTTGGTGGGCATTGACCTTGAGTTTTGGAGTTGTAGTTCGCCTACACCCAGAGAGCAGTGTGGACTCAAACGATGATGGATCTGGACCAAACTTGGCATGAATAATCAATATGCCCAAATATGAACACAGGTGGAGTTTGAGGAAAATAGTCCTTGACATTTTGGGAGTTGTAGTTGCTGGGATATGTAGTTCACCTACAATCAAAGAGCATTCTGAACCTCACCAATGACAGAATTGGGCCAAATTTTCCACATAGAACCCCCATGACCAACAGAAAATACTGTGTTTTCCGGTGGTCCTTAGTGATCCCTCTGACACTCCCTCGTGACCCCTCCAGGGGTCCCGACCCGCAGGTTGAGAACCACTGATCTAGAGTTTGGGATATATTCGCCGTATAAGACTACCCCTCTTCCAACGCAGACCAAGTAAAAATTTAAAAAGCATCAGATTTGATTTTAATATGTTAGTTTTCCTATTACTGCACCTCCTTCTCTGCCTCTCAGATCTTGCACCTGCGCAGGAGTGAGATCTAAGAGGCAGAGGAGGGGGTACAGTAATAGGATACAAGGGCGGGCCAGACAAGTAAAAGAGGTGTGTTTTTTCGGGCCCAGAGCCACTCTATCTCTTTTTTCCATACCCTGGGCACCCCGGTCGCCTGCAGCTTGCTCCGCCCTTCACTTACACCTTCCCGGTGAGGCACCCCTTCATCTCATCATCGGGAACACATTAAGTCCACGAATCCTGATGAATGGATTTTCTTCTACCGTACTTGTACAGCGTTGCCCTTAATGCTTTCATACAGTTGCTGCATACGGCAGAGAAGCGGCCACTGGCATTTTTGAGCTCCCCCCACCATATGCAGCAACCACAGGTTCTCCAATCTGGTGTGGAAGTTTCAGCACCCGCTCTATAAGATGACCCACGTATAAGACAAAACCCATGTATAAGGCTACTCCCGCATATAAGACGACTCCTGCGTATAAGACTACCCCTGACTTTTGCAAAGATTTTCTTGGGTTAAAAAGTATTTATTTATTTATTTATTTCTGGCACTTATACCCCGCCCTCCTCACCCCCAAGGGGGGACTCAGGGCGGCTTACACAACGAGGCACCATTCCGCGCCCATACAATTACAGTTA